GTAATGGAGAACCTGGAACAGCCCAAAATGTTGATAAATCAACTAGTTTGGCACGAAAAGTTGTTCGCCTTTTCAATACAAAACTACAGTTGTTAGATGTGAATTGAAAAGATTGTGCAAGCACAGTGAAAGTTTTTGTCCTTAAATTTTTGAAATGGTGAGGATGAAGACTTCCTTTCGTAGGGATGCATTGACCAGATTAGATTCAGGGTTAATACAAGTTGAAATATAAGTATATCAACCAATAGTTGGATCCTATTTTTATGAAATTATTAATTATTTGAGGATAACTGAAATTATTAATTAAATGAGGATAATATGATAATTCACACTTTTTCATATTAAAAAATATAAAATTAAATAAGATAATGAATCTTATTTTTATGGAATACAACAACCCATTATTATTTTTAATTCTAAAATATAAAATATAAAAAATAAAACCAATTGGCACACGAGGGACTAGTAATAATAAGTTATCAATGTTATCCTCTCATTGATTTTTGAAAAATTAAAATAAAATCCATCATAGGGGTAATTATATTCAAGGGCTAACGACAATTTAACCTCTGAAGGTTTGGGGTTATTCACAATCCTTTCATCCTTTCTTTTACATACTATCAAATTTCCTACATTCTTTTCATCCTTCCTTTCACATGCCGACATGTGGATATCACAATTGCTATTCGAAAATATTAGGGTATAAGTAGTACTTTAATTGAATTAACCAATATATTTAAAGAATATACTAAAAATTAATAAAATATTGAGAGAGCTATGATTTATGGAGACGGTAAAACTATAATCCAACACTATTTTTCTTATAAAAAAAACTATAAATTGTGGATTAAAAAAAAACTATGACACTTGTTGAAATTAACTCCCTGAATTAAAAAAAATTCAGCCAATTTAGTCCTTGAAGAAAAATAAATAGCCAATTTCAACCTTGACATTAGATTTTATCACATTTCATCCACTTTTTTGTCTACCACTATATTGACCATAGTCTATTGGCTATTTTAACAATGTGGGTCATTTTAAGGTCCCATTAGTGAGATTGGGCCATGGACTTACCTATCTTTCATGTGCTAATGGCATGTAAAGCTGTATTAACTTCTTGATTAGCCATAATTCTGCAATTTTACTTTTTTGTCAACCGTGGTACAGGGGAAATATTAGTGAGATCAAAATATTATTGCTCCATAACGAATTTAGTTACCTGTACATGAGGAAAGAAGAAGAAAAATCGTCCTAATGCCAAATCTTTTAGGTAAGCAGAATCCAATTATAGTAATTGAGCACAAGCTAGGCTAAGATAGACAGACAATCGAATATTAATCAGTGCAAAAGTGCAAAGCAAATAACATTATAGATTACTAAACTAATTAATTAACATTTTAGGTAAGCATAATCCAATTCTAGTAGCTGATCATATCATATCATCAATTCATACCAAATTTCAGAGATTTACTGTGGTTTGATTTTGATGACCTTTAGCTGATCATATAATATGTGTCCACAAAGAAAAAAGAAATATATATTGGATTTGCCTGAGTTATGCTAGATTAAGAGTCTGAAATATCAGTTAATTATGTTAATTCTTGTCTCTAAATATATCATTTCATAAGTTAACAAGATAATGCAAAGACTTCATACATATTTGGAGTCCGTTTGATTCAAAATTTAAGAATTTGAGAATGCGTATGTACCACATGTATAGTTATTATATTCTTTTTTGTATAATCTCACTTAATAAATTGGAAAACTTTTATTAGCAGTATGCCCACGAACTCCAATAGCACGAACAATACAAAGTTGCCACAAAACCTTGTCCACGAAACTTTTATTAAGAGCATCACTTTGTCGTTTGTTTTTCTTTATTTTGGATGACACAAAACCTTGTCCACATATCACACATTCATTCTTCCAATACAAATTTTCCACCAATCTTCTCATCCATTAGTCCTCAACTCAATCAACTTCCCATTCAGACCCTACAAATTAGAAAAAGAAAGAGTGATTATCTGATTTGTATGCTCTTTAGAAATTTATAATAAAACTCATTCCTTGCCTTTTATATATAAAACCCATACATGTAATATGAGAAAGGAAGTTTTAATATAATAGGAAGGAAGGAAGTATATTCAGTGCTGAGGAATGAGTTTTATATATAAATTAATATACTTCCTTGCCTTTTATAATACATGTAGTGTTACAATAAACTTCTCATCCTCATCCTATAAATTATAATATGAGAAATTTTATGAATAATTGTAACACTACATGTAATATTAATTTATCTTAGTTTTAATATGTGATTGGTGGAAGATTTATGCTTTACTATATAAGTATCAATAAATATATAGACATATGTTTAAGTTAAGTCAAGGTCTATATTTGCAAGAAGATAATTGTAGCTTGTGCCCCGCCTTGAATGGGAGGCAAATTTAAAAGGTTAAGTGGACACAAAAATGCACCGTTACCAACTTACCATGTCAAGTCAAGTAAAGCCCAATCAATAACTGCAAGATAATAGTGAGAAAGAGTGCGTTGGAAGGTAAGTCACCATCCCAATTCTCAAGTCTAGTCTAAGTTAATAGTTGGTGGGAAGAAAATTAGGAGGAAACTTGTTTGTGCGGATGGTCCTACTAAGTAAGCATTGATGAAAAAGGCTGGTCCAATTAATTTATTAGTAGCAGGCTGCCAGTGTCCACGCTGATGAAAAAGTCCTACGCCTTTTGTCCACAGCTTCTCAAGGAGACATGATATTTTGGCATATACATTATTTTCCACCCTCAATTAATTATCATTGTATACACAACAATATCTACCCTAAACCCTTGCTATGACCAAGTTTTTCCTTTTGACCAATCAACAAGAAGACAGCATACGGCACTTAAAAAGATATAGGCAGTCCGTAGCTCTTAAGAAAATCGAAATGGTTAGATCTTTATCTAGATAATAACCAGATTGAAGGAGGAAACTTGAAATCTTTTGCTGGGCTATGTAGCTTGCAATCATTGTGGCTTCAAAGCAATCATCTGAGTGGACAACTATCCAAGTTTTGTTCAACTATTGCCTATGTGTGCTCAAAACTCATTAGAGTTTTTGGATCTCTCCTCGAATGGCTTTGCGGGGTCATTAACTAATCTTATGAGCTTTTCATCTTTGAAATTCCTGTATCCTAATACCAATCGATTAAGCCGAAGAATACCTGAAAGTCTTGGCCAAATGTCCAACTGAAACAAATTGATTTTGGCATGAACTCTTTGAAAGGGGTGGTTTCAGAAACCCACTTCTCAAAACTCTCCAAATTACAGTATCTGAATTTATCATCTAACTCATTAGTTTTAAACATGGATTTTAATGACAAATCCAATGGAAAGACTAAAATACCCTTACATGGATGGAAAAATTAGATGGTGTTAAGGTTTGATGACAAATCATGGATTTTTTTTGACGAGGTAAGGATTTTTTTCACAATTTTTTTGGGTTCTTGTTGATTGCTGTAAGGATTTCTCAATTCCTGCGATTTTGCACAGAAATTGAAGGTTTTGTTCTTGGGATCAAATTTTTGGGCTTGTTTCTCTGAATTGAGTATCGTATTTGACATTTCAATGTTGGTATGACATGATTTTGCTGCCATGGTGAACTTTGATATTGAACATAATCTTTGTGCAGTTTGTTGTTTGGATTTATTTGAGGCTTTCGACAATGAAATTTTTGATCAAGTATGGAAATACACAATTGGGTTTTTATTGTTTTGTTTAGAAATTTGTATGAGTGGTTTTGGATATTTTCGATGAATATCTAGTTGGTTAACTGACTGAGTTATCTTTCCATTGAAGTGTCCTTAAGTAGTCTTTGTTACGATAGGGTCTAATTGAGTTCTGGCTGTTACTCTTAATACCATGTTTTTGATTGCAAGTATGGATTGTATTTGTAATTAGCAGTTCCATTATCAAGCTAGAGACCACATGTGACGGGCATATACATGTCATGGCACATTAAAAGAAATCCGAATTATCAAAGATGTGCTTTTTGTAGAATTGAACCATCCAAGCTTTCAAGGTCAAGCTAATACTTACACTATTAAGAAATTGGGTACAAAGAAAAAAAATTATGAATCATAACCACGAAAATTATAAGTCACCACATAAAGTTTGCTTAAGAAATATACAAGTCATCACGGAAAGTTTGGTTAAAAAATATCAAAAGTTCAAAAACTAAACTGCACAAATACAGTATTAACCATAACTAATTGTATTGTTGATTTTTAAAAAAGTGGTAGAGGCTATAAATGTTACCATTAAATTAACCTTCCCCACTAAATAAGTGAAGTGGTTTGATAATGGTTTTTGTATAAATTTATTCTCACAAACTATTTATACATAATTTGTGAAAGATTTATACTTTCATAATTTGTATCAAGAAATATATGTGCGTTGGTAGACTATCTCCATATGTTTCAAGTTAGGTCAAGTCCATATTGCAAGAAGCTTGTGCCTTGGATGGGATCATGGGAGGCAAATTACGGTGGAGTTGAGTGGACATGACCCACAGGATGCAGAAAAACTTGTATGAAACCATCTCAAGACTTGTCAAGTTGACTCAATACCTACAACAATTTGTCCTGATTTTTGGCGTGGAACTCGGGATTCTCAAGTCCGTGAAGTTAAAGTCTTATGTGGAGCCACAGCCACACACAAGCATTCATTCTTCCAACCAATAACAAATTTCCACAAGTCTTATCATCCAGTAATTTCCCCAATTCATTGAAATACATATGGAAAGACTACCTAATTAATTCAATAGATATATATAAAATTAATAATTCCACAACAAATAAGAAAAAAGAAAAAGAAAAGTCTATGTCAATAATTATGTCCCTAGGCCTGTATGTCGTTTGGAGTTTTATGCATACTATTCAAGCTCGTAAACATTTTCTTTTTTTTCCCAGGCCTATATATTGTGATACAAGCTCGGAGATAACCATATATCAATAATTAAACCCTAAACAATTGGATCGTGTTGATCTTGCATTTCAATCTTTTTAACATGCAGGGCCACGGAAGGTGTTTCAAACTCTTTCTTGCATTTGCACTGCTTTTGCTACAGTACGCCCAAGGAGGAGAGGTGGACCACAGTCAGAGGGATACTAGCGTGACCGGGAGGTGCATAGAGAAGGAAAGGCAAGCACTCCTTGCATTGAAGCGTGGCCTGGTGGATGAGGACAATCTCCTCTCTTCATGGAGTTCAGAAGCCCAAATACCAGATTGTTGCAAATGGATAGGACTCTATTGCAACAACCAAACAGATCATGTTATTGGACTTGATCTTTCATACAAAGTTATCGGCGAAGATTATTATTTGCAAGGTAAGATGATTAGTCCTGAACTGATTTACAACATTTGGACCTCAATTATATTGATTTCAATGGGAGCCAATTTCCAGATTTCATTGGTTCTCTAACCAATTTAAGAAACCTTGATCTGTCTTCGACTAATTTTGGAGGCAAGTTTCCAAGTTAGGTCGGAAATCTTACGAACTTGGAGTATCTGGACTTAAGCGGTAAGCGGTAATCGCTTTACAAATGTAGAAAACCTCAACTGGCTTCCTCTTCTTTTGTCATTAAGATATTTGGACTTGAGTTTGGTGAATCTCAGCAATATTTTCGATTGGCCGGAAGCCGTTAATAAGCTTACTGAACTAACAACCTTGACACTACAGTACTGTGATCTTCCTTCTCCAATTCTTTCCACTCTTTCTTACATAAACTCTTCTAAATCTCTCACTAGCATTCAACTTTCTTTCAACCATTTAAGTACTTCTTCAATATTTCTATGGTTGTCCAACTACAATACTAGCCTTGTTCATCTTGACCTCTCTTTTAACCAACTAGCGGGTTCAATTCCTGATGTTTTTGGAAACATGAGTTCTCTGGCACATCTTGATCTCTATTCTAACCAACTTGAAGTTTGCAATATTTGGATTTTAGCATTCTTTTGCCAGGTTATGTAGTTTGCAATATTTGGATATCTCAAGCAATAATCTGAGTGGACAACTTTCTAAGTTTGTTCAAATATTATTCTCTACATGTGCTCAAAACTCATTGGAGGAGTTGTATCTCTCTGAGAATGATCTTGCAGGGTCATTGCTTAAAAGTATAGGGCTAATATTACATGTGTCAAATGATGATTCGTCGAGTGTAAGCCATTTCCTACTCTTTGCTACACACGATTGAGCGAAACCCTAAAACATTTCAAGGGCTTCGATTTTTCTTTTCCCTTCCTCCTCTCAAGAACTCTCGCCTCTTCTCTTCCTCCTCTCAAACATTTTTCACCCGATATCTCTCAGTCATTCAGGGGCCGTTCGGTTAAGTTTTCAGCGCCCGTTTTCATTTTCTGAGAATGAAAACAAACCAAGAATCCGTTCGGTAGACTAAAACAGAAAACAGTGAGAATGTTTTCATAAAATGAAAACAACATAACGTGTACTTTGGAAAAACAGAAAAAATATGTTTTCATTCTCACAGAAAACAAACTCCTAAACCATAAACAGAAACCCACAACCCCATCACTCTACCCAGCAAAACAGAAACGAAACGAAAATCACACCAAAACATAAACCAAAATCAAACATACCACGGCCACGATTGTCAGACCATCATCATCTCAACCGCCATGACTCTGCCATTGCCACCAAACCTCACAGACCCAGTCCCCACATCACCACCACCTATCAAACCCAACCGACACCAACACCAACACCATGCCAATGGAATCACGACCAAACACCCAATCGAACCCAATACACATCTCGCCACCTAGTAAAAAAGCAATCGACCCCTAGCACCTCCACCACCCATACCCAATCAAAGCATCACCATCGCCATCACCTCCCAATTAAGGAGGGGGGAAGGGAGAGAGAGAGAGAGAGAGAGAGAAGAGATAAAAATAAATTTAACTTTTAAAAAATAATATAACTTTTTATTTGTCAAATTATACTTTTAAAAAAATGTTTTTTAGAACATAAATTAGCAAAAATATGCTTAAAAAATAACTCACATATTATTTTTATTATCAAATTGTACTACCAGACACGTTTTCATTGTTTTTGTTTTCTGAAGATGTTTTCCAATTAATCTACCAGACGCATTTTCATTTCCTGAAAATGCAAATTTGTTTCCTTGTTTTCATTCTCTGAAAATATTCTTAGAAAACACTCTCTGAAAACGTTACCAGACGGGCCCTCACTCTCTCAACCGCTCGCTCTCTCAGCCTCTCTCTCTCTCTCTCTCTCTCTCTCACTCTCATCTCCCTCAGCCGGTTTTGCTCTCTCTCAGTCATTCTCAGTCTCCCTCTCTCGATTTTTTTTCTGTTTCAGGTATTAATATATGGAAACGGTGCAGATCAGAAGCTTTAAGATCTGTGTAAGTTTCAGGGTCATCTTGTTCAAGACATCAGATCTTCTCAACTGGGATTCTTGTGATTTAGCACTGTCAGATTTTTGGTTGTTTTTTCTTGTTGCTGTTTGATTTTGGCTGCTGTCATTTAAGCTTTATTGATTTTGGTTGCTGTTTGATTTTGATTTTGGTTGCTGTCATTTAAGGTTTTTTTAGTTGCTATTTGATTTTGATTTTGGTTGTTGTCATTTAAGCTTAGATATTGAGTAAGGCTTTTTATCACAAATGGTCCTTCAGGTTTACAAAATTATCACGAATCGTCCTCCAGGTTTTTTTGTGACACTAATAGTCCTTCAGGTTATCATCTATCCATCAAAATGGTCCTTCAAGTTAATTTCCGTCAAAACTAACGCTAAAAAATCACTGCACATTCGACCAAACCCAACCCTCAGAACTCTGTCCCTCCATTTCCTCCTGGGTCCTTCCATTTTGGTGCCCCAGTATATAACCCATCTTGGAAAGTAAATTCTAAAGAAATTGAAACAATCCGAGCTCAAGCAAAAAGTTAGACAACAATTACAGACAATGCACGAAATCCCATATGTGCATGAGAGAGAGAGAGAGAGAGAGAGAGAGAGAGAGAGAGAGAGAGAGAGATTACAGTGGCGCTAGGTACACCATGAAGGCCACGATGTTACTTGTGAAAATGAAAAACAAAGGAAGAGAGAGAGATAATTCAGAATTGAAAACCAAGCCAAAATTGAAAAGAAAAAGGAACCCAATTATTAATACAGGGGGGGTTGGTTAGAGGAGGTAGAAGAACTAAGTAGCTATGGTACATAGAATGCATCAGGGGCTGCCATTCTGGGGGTTAAGCTCTTTTAACTAAGGAGTGTGTGAGGATTTGAGGGCACTCCAAAGAATCAAAGAGCTTGCTCTAATTGTTGCATTGTGTGCCTTTATATAGGAAAGCAGAAGGGGAAAAGAAGACCAAAGAAAAAGAAAAAAAAAAAGAAACAGAGTTGAGTTAGCTATGAACAAACTGTATATTTGATGTCTTAAGCTTACTCTACTGTCTTCTTCTTTTTACACATGTTTTTCTTCCCCTAGGTAATCATAATGAATGAGGACAACTATAAGCAATTAGCCACAAGATTAAGACACTCTGCAAAAGCTTAGCAAGGTACTGAAGGGTAACCATAATTAGGTGTGAATAAATTGGCAGCCACGTTGAGATTTGCAGCTATAAATGAAGTCTTAGTCATCCTCTGTTCCGTACTGGATGTTGAAAACTATTGAATCACATCAGTACTCAAAAAACTCAGTATTTGATGTGCCATCGATAATGAATTTGCAGGACTTCTTCTATATTTCATATTGAACCATGAGTATGAATTTAGTCTTTCTCTGGAGTTCTCCATTTTTGATCTTTCTCTTGAGCTTGGATTGTTTCAATTTCTTTAGAATTTACTTTTCAAGATTGGTTATGTACTGGGGCGTCAAAATGGAGGGACAGAGTTCTGAGGGTTGGGTTTGGTCGAATGGGCAGTGATTTTTTAACGTTAGTTTTGACAGAAATTAACTGGAAGGACCATTTTGATGGGTAGATGATAACCTGAAGGACTATTAGTGTCACAAAAAAACCTAAAGGATGATTCGTGATAATTTTGTAAACCTGAAGGACCATTTGTGATAAAAAGCCATTGAGTAATAATGTAAGCACTGTAATAATTTAGATATTGAGTAATAATATTGCTTCCTTGTTTTTCCCACCTCGGATTTTCTCAGTTAATGTCACTTGTGCAAGAAAAACCTCCATGGCAAAGACATATTCATGTACAGGTAAAACCACAATCACTTTTTCTTGGTTATGTTTCATTGTAAATGTTTGGTTCAACCCATGTTGTTTTTTGTTGTTGAAGTTGATGTTGGGTTTGTGATTAATATATGTTTTCTGTGTGGTTTACAGAGAGGAGAGTGCGTTTTGTAGCACAGAATGCAGAGCAACGAAGATGATGATGGATGAGAGCAAAGAACGGTGCAGATCAGAAGCTTTAAGATCCGTGGAAGTTTCAGGGTCATCTTGTTCAAGATATCAGATCTTCTCAACTGGGATTCTTGTGATTTAGCACTGTCAGTACATAGGCGGCTTTACACTAAATACATTTATTTGTTTTTATTTGGATTTTCTTTTGAACTTTGCAAATATGCAGATTGTGATTGAGATTACTCTCACAATTTGCTATTTTCTGTAATAATGATTTCTGTATTTGGACGTGTGGTGGATGATGGTTTTCTTAGGTTTTTAAGGTTTTTTTTAAAGTATTTGAATGATGATAAACTTTAGATATGCAAAGCTGGAGAAACTGGAAAATCATACAGGAACTCTCAAACTTGAATCTGACCGAAAAAACATAATGGGCCTGGAAAACTTTTAAAAAAAAACCTTAAATTGTGGCTTTTGTGGGCCTCGGCAGATACCCGAACCGTATCAACCTGGCCCGTCTAATTTGGGTTTCGAATTAAGTCGAAAATGGGCCAAATAAACAGGTACATGGTTTACTATTTGGGCTTGCCGACATGATTTGGTTCGGTGTACGATTTGGGCCCATAACCGGCCTGACCCGACCCGTGAACAGCCCTAGATTTGTGGGACAATTGCCTTCGTCGTTGAAGAATTGCACAAGTTTAGTAGTCATTGATGTTGGGGATAATAAATTATCTGGACCGATACCTGAATGGTTAGGGGTTAGCTTAAAGAATTTGGTTATCCTGATGCTTTCGTCTAATTACTTCAATGGAAGCTTGCCCTCACAAATATGCCATCTAACACACATTCAAATTTTGGATTTCTCCATGAACATCATATCTGGAAGCATACCCAAATGCCTCACCAATTTAACTACTCTGGCTCAGAAAGGATACTCAAGTTTGAAAATCATGCATTCTTTGGGAAATTCAAATTCTACATATCTCTATGAGGATTACGCAACATTCATATGAAAAGGAAAAATGTATGTTGTGTAGATACAGCTGCACCAAAATGGATTCAGTTGCATCCTCAACTTGTGATACTCGCAAGTGCACGAGCCGTTT